AAACACCAAACAGAATCCCTTCACCGTGCAAAACCCGGTGGTGGGTTGATCTCCACATGGCTGAGAGAGTAGTGTCACAGTATCAATGGATCTGGAACTTTGGAATGACATATGAGAGGGGAAGGTTGCTGAAAAACGTGCCCGAAGCTGACGTCATCAATGTGCTGAAGGCCTACATCAAAGCTATGAAACCAGTGGAAAAAATTTGCACTATACTAGGTGGAGAAAAGTACGCCACTTGCAGTTACATTCTCCCAATGCTGTACCTCCTAGATCCCGACAGCCCTCTCTATGGAGGGGATGATCTTCTTAACTTAGGCGAGCCAAACCCTGTAAGTAGACTTAAAACACAATTTTTATTTTAAGAATTGTAATGTTAAAAATTTCTCAGAATTATTGTTACACTACGTTTATCTTTTTAGGAAGCGGCTAATGATGATATACCCCTCTCTGCCAACCCAGAGATGATTCCCACAAACATCCAAAAAAGTGTGGTTAAGTTCCTCAAGAAAAGATTTAAACCAGATCCGGAGGACGACCACCGCGAAGTTGATTATGTGTCAGCAAGGGAGTGCTACGGCGTGCTTGCTAGGTGCTCTTTCCTTGACCCGCGGTTCAGGGATGAGATACTTGAAGAGGACCGTGATCACGCAAAAGCGCTTCTTTTAGAAGACGCAAAGACCATGGTGCCACCCTCAGGGAACTCAACATCTGGATCTAACTCAGGAGGTTAGTTTTCTTATAAGTTACTGCATGGTGTTCCGCACAGGCGAGGGCAGGCGCGCGGCGCGCGAGCTTCCCGTCAAAGAGTCGGACCTGGAGTCCAGGCTGGCGCTGGCGCTGGGCTGGCGCTGGCGTCGGCCGGGCAGCCGGGGAACGGGGTGCCCGTCGTGTGCGTGTGCGGCGCAGCTAGTCCGCACCCGCACCCCCTTCCCCCTCGGGCCGGCCCCCGGCTCCGGCTCCCTTCCCCCGACCCGCTGAACGAATCGCGTATCGCGTACCCGACCCGAACTAAAATACGTTTTCGTTTTATTGCAGGTAGTAACGTTGCCGCGGTGAAAACCTTGTCAAAAATTTTCAAAAAACGGCGGCTTGCTGCTGCGTTTGGAGATGATGAAGACGGAGGGGTTGGCTCAGACTCCCAACCTACAATGGAGGCGAGGCTTCAAGCAGAGATGCAGCGCTATGAACAGCTTCCTCCCATCGAAACAGACTCGGATCCGTTCCAGTGGTGGAAGGTGCACAGCGCAAGTCTCCCCATCATGTCAAAGTTAGCAAGGCAATTTCTTATCATCACTGGGACCAGTGTGCCCTCTGAGAGGGTTTTTAGCACCGGCGGTGATGTGATCGTCGATACAAGGTGCTCTTTATCCGGGCACAATGCGGAAATTCTCATATTTTGCAGCAAGAACGAAAAGTACTTGCCAATTGGCTAGTTGAGATATTTACCTTCACCGTATGCCACTGGCTTTCTGTCTTATTCCTCTCTTCAAATTATGAAAAATAAAGTGTTTCATTTTTTTCAACGGAATTGTTTTCAATATTTCAATGTTTCAATGTTTCAATATTTCAATATTT